TCTCAAACTTGGACTCCAAGTCAGATGGTTGGGAGGAGACTACCCTCACCATGTTTCCCATTTGTACTGATAGGAGGAGACGGACTGTCTATCTTGCTGCTCACACTGTGTCTATCAGGCAGTAGCGAACTATGCTAGGCCTACTGTTTAGGCCATTAATGTCAGAGGAAAAAAAGCACCTCTATGATAATGCTAATTCTGCTAGCGCCCCATGGAATTCTAGTAGTACACTGTATGGACAAAACTATTGGGACACCGCTCCTAACTATTGAGTTCAGGTGTTTCAGCCGCACCCATTGCTAACAGGTGGATAAAGTTAAGCGCCTTGCAGTCTGATAGACAAACACTAGCAGTAGAATGGGTCAGACTGGGCTCAGTGACTTTAAACATGGCACTGTCATAGGATGCCACAAGTCAGTCTGTGAAATGTCTGTCCTGCTAGACCTGCCCCAGTCAACTGTAAGTACTATTATTGTTAAATGAAAGCACACAGAAGCAACAACAGCTCAGCCCCTTAGTTCCAATGAATGGAAATCTTAATGCTACAACAGACCAAGACATTTTGGATAAATGTACGCTTCCAACTTTGTGGGTATAGTCTGGGAAAGGCCCTTTTCTGTTCCAGCATGTCTGAGCCCCAGTGCACAAAGCAAAGTCCATAAAGGCATGGCTGGGTGAGTTTGGTGTGGATGAACCTGACTGGCCCACACAGAGCCCTGACCTCAACCCCTTCTAACACCTTTAGGATGAACTAGAATGGAGATTGTGAGCCAGGCCCTCTCGTCGAACATCAGTGTCTGACCTCACAATTGCTCTTCTGGATGAATGGGCAGAAATTCCCCACAGACACCCTCCAAAATCTTGTAGAAGGCTTCCCAGAAGAGTGGAAGCTGTTATAGCTGCAAAGCGGGGACCAACTCCATATTAATTCCCATGGATTTAGAATGGGATGTCAGAAAATCTCCTGTAGGGGTACTGTGTAGATGTCCCAATTATATTGTCCATATATTGTATGTTAGCACTAAGCTTATGGCGATTCACATGAATATTTTTTGGCTGTTCTAGATTGAAGCCTGCAAAAGATATATAACTGACATACACACACACACACACACATTTTCTAAACCGCTTATCCATCTGGGTCGCATGGGGTGCTGGAGCCTATCCCAGCAGTCATTGGGCGGAAGGCAGGATACATCCTGGACAGGTATAAAACTGACATGTTAAAATGTATTTCACTTGTATGTAGCAGCTTTGCAGTAATTATTTCAGTAAAGAGCCCTGACACAGAGCTGCCACTGTTTTCCATTTCAAACAACTGACTAAATCTGGTCAGCCTACCACTCGCATTTGCATTTAATGACTTCACGGAGGCCTAGAGTGATATTTTTTCTTACAAAATTGGTCCCACCAGTTTTAAATAAAAAAATGACTGATTGATTACACTGTTGATTCCTAATTATTTGAGTGGTTAGGTCTGCTTCTGAAGGCCTAACCAGTCCTGCTTGGTTTGGCTTGTATCTACAGTTTACGATGGAAAAAAATATTCTTGATTGGATAGTTTTCTCTTCAAAATTTCAAAATTTAACTTTTGTTTTCCAACCAAAACCCATCAATGAAATAAGAGCATTACTACAATACCAGCAGAGCTTAAACACAACAAACATGATGATTATTTGAAATAAAAAATTAAGAATATGGCCATTTTTTGTATTTCACAAAAATCATCAGGCCTTCTCTCATTAGGCCCTGAGTATCCTCCGCCGCTAACAGGCTTTGCTGCTGTGTTTATGACTTAAAAGGCTGGCCAGTAGATAATTAAGCCTGTTCTGTAAAAACCTGTTACTTCTAATGGAGTAACAACTCTTAGTCTTCTAACTGTCCCTCTCTGAAGTATAAATGCTCACTGAATTCTCTCATATAGTTTAGAGAGACTAAATAGATATCATAACCTTTTCATTAATAACACATAGATTACTATCTGGATTAAACATCGAGATGTATATTGTAGATAACTGTGGGAGGAGTAGAGTTGTCCCAATGACTTAAAGCAATTCTTTTCACATATCTCTGTAGCACAGCAGTGTTAATTAGCAAAGAGCTGATCAGCTCTCGGTACGCGTCTCGCTGTGGAGCGTCTGTGTCAGGATTTGGGCTCTGTGTGTCCTGTGGGATTATATTGAAGATGGGGGCTTTTGTAATGTTTCTGTGACAGAGGGTTATGATTGTACTGTACTAATCCTGGCAATTGCCATGTGCAGTGAAAGCAACTGCTGTGGATTTAGGGTTCTCAATGATGGGACACAGGCAGACTGCAGCACTGCTCGGAACACTTCGCTGGAAATTAAACAGAGAACATTTTGTTGATTAGATAAAAAATAAATATGAAATAGTTACAGTCACACAGACTTGCTGATGTGAGTTAGGACAGTATGACTTACTGTGAATTATGAAAATGAACAAAACTTTAATGTGTGGCTGAATGCTGTGGTCAGCCATTATATACAATGGGATGTGCACGCACATCACGCAGGCATATGGAGGCCACAGATTACATTCTCTTGGGGATGTATTTACGGAAAACATTTGGGTGACTATTGACTTCTAGTGTTTGTTAGCATTTTAGTCTCGGCTCCAGCTTAAAACTTAAGAAGCAAAACTTGGACACCAATCATGTCTTGGCTGATTGACTACATCTGTGGAAAATTGTGTAAATGCGTAAATTTGTATCCTTTATGTCCTTTATAACATTATGTTTTCAAGCATCACATTGGTAACTGGCAGTTTTCCCACTAAATTGAATAATGGTAAAATGGTAAATATGGTAAAACAAAAGTGGTCACTGCAGAAGGGGAGATCTCCATGATTAGGACAGGATAAATGTGGCTCTGGAGGATCTGCTGTTTCTGCATGAACAGAATGTATGTAACTCTCATGTCATTCACCAAGTCAGATTAATTTCAATCTATCTTCAGAATCAGAGGCAAAATATGCAAACATAGGGTAACACTAAAAACACTCACACACCACTCAAAAAGGACAATTTGCCAAAAAGCCAGTAAAGAATTCAAATGTTGGTGTACGGCAACATTAAATGAACTTCCCCCTGTTTTTCCAAAAATGGGACTAGAGTTCATATGCATTATATGGACAAAAAAAATTGGAGTTGGTCCCCTCTTCGCAGGTATAACAGCTTCTGCTCTTCTGTGAAGACTTTATACAAGATTTTGGAGTGTGTCTGTGGAAATTTTGCCCATTCATCCAGAAGGCCATTTGTAAGGTCAGACACTGATGCTGGACGAGAGGGCCTGGCTCGCAATTTCCATTCTAGTTCATCCCACAGGTGTTAGATGGGGTTGAGGTCAGGGCTCTGTGTGGGCCAGTCAAGTTCTTCCACACCAAACTCACCCAGCCATGCCTTTATAGACCTTGCTTTGTGCACCCTGGGCTCAGTCATGCTGGAACAGAAAAGGGCCTTCCCCAAATTGTTACCACAAAGTTGGAAGCATACAGTTGTCTAAAATGTCTTGGTCTGTTGAAGCATTAAGATTTCCCTTCAGTGGCCTAGGCCAACCCCTGAAAAACCCCAAAGCATTATCTCTCCTACACCAAACGTTACAGTTGGCACAATGCAGTCAGGCAGGTAACGTTCTCCTGGCATCCTATGTCAGTGTCACATATAAAATCACTGAGCTCATCAGTACGACTCTATCTACTGCCAGTGTTTGTCTATTGAGCAAGCGTATGTACTTAATCCACCTTTTATCAATGGGTGTGGCTGAAACACCTGAACTCAATAATTAGGAGATGTGTCCCAATACTTTTGTCTATATAGTGTATTTCTATAGCACAACATCTATGGTTAAGTATTAAAATGAAGTTCAATGACCTTTAAACTGGTTAGTCTAGGACTGTCCTTAATCTTAATCCTTGACCTCTCTATTAAACCTGGATTAGCTGAGTTGACCACTTAAACTAACACACGTTACACAAGACATTTGAGACGGTCATGCTTATATCATAGAGCTACATTTCTCTAGGACCTTCTTGTGTTTGTTTAGAGCATCAGTGTGAAATCAGTAATCCAAATGACAAGCTATAGGTCTTTAGTTGGGAATAAAACATCTTTTATCTAACCACACAAAAATACCCACAGATCTATGAGCAAGGAGGTGAATTAATGAGGTACTCTAAGGGGAACTGAGATATACAGTTGCCCTACAGAGACTTTGTTTTGGCTCTTCTAACAAGTCATTGTTGACTGTTCTTGACATTAGCCTATAATTAGTGATCTTAAAAAAGATCAAGTGGGATGGTATAAGGAGAAGAGGTCTTGTTTGACATTAAGAACTTCTGATATATCAAATGAAACATGGTACTTGAATCTCAAATACAGATGGAATTAAAATGTCAATAACAGACAGTGATATTACAATGGCAATAATAGAATAAATGGAGTGGAATAAGGAGATGGCAATTCTAATGGGGTGGTGGTGGGGTGGGGGGTTTGTCATTTTTTGACCAGACAGATGGCATTCCCCTCAGACGCTGGCCAGCCCTCACACTATTATGGGGTGTCTTTGTGGAGATAAACTCTGCATACCAGCATATATCCAGGTTTAGGTATTCCAGTGCTCCAGATGAGTGACCTCAAGTTCTTATTTGACCAAAGCATTACAATGAAGACCAAAGACATTTAACACTGCTAGGCTATAACTATTAATCTTAAACCTTGATCCATTTTTTAATTTACGCCTTGTTTAGCTGAGGTGACCACCTGAACCAGCATGCGCTACGCAAGCATCACCACTAAGCGTGCATGCGCTCTCCTAGATTGGACAGCTGATGCTCATATTTATGAATTGGTAAGGCAGCAGGCTTATTCATTCCTCCCCTTCAGTGTATGTTGGGGGGGGGGGTGTAAAGTCCAGGTATTTGGGAAGTGACGTCATCGACCCCCGGAAAGGGGGAGGGGGGGACGAAGCGTTTGAGAGCGCAAGATGGCAGCGAAATCCGATGGCGTGGGGGTCGTCGCCGGTTTCGCCCAGCTGCGCGAGCAGGACGATGCGGCGGGGACCGGAGAGGACGAGGAGCCCGCGGACAGCGCGGCCATCCACATGTGCCACTGCTGCAACTCCTCGTCGTGCTACTGGGGCTGCCGGAGCGCGTGCCTCTCGGCGCGCGGAAGGAGGAGAGGCGCGCGCCCGCGGCCCGGGGAGGAGCGCCTGTGGCTGGACTGCCTGTGGATCGTGCTGGCGATGCTGGTCTTCTTCGGCGACGTGGGCACGGACGTGTGGCTGGCCGTCGACTACTACACGCGGAGGGACTACCTGTGGTGCGGGCTCACGCTCTTCTTCGTGCTCGTGCCCTCGGTGCTCGTGCAGATCCTCAGCTTCAGGTGGTTAGTGCAGGATTACACGGGCGGCGGGCTCGGGGCAGTGGAGGGGCTCAGCCGGAGAGCTGGGGTACACGGCCGGGACCGCTGCTGCCACATCGCCGTGTGGGTCTGGCACGCAGCCGTGCACGTTCTTCAGCTGGGGCAAGTGTGGAGGTAAGGCGCGAGGCTGAAGTCAGCTTCCTATTCACCAGTCCCTTTTATTCCCGTTCCACCTTAAGTGGTGCAGCAGTTACATTCTGGCGCCTGAGGCTTCAGCTTCCTAGGGAAGGCTAAGGCAGAGGCTGGCTGGTGATAGTCAACGCAGTGCTCTCTCTCCCTCTCTCTCTCCCTCACTCACTCACTCACTCACTCACCAGCATACTCACCAACATCACCAACACCTGCCATATCCCCCCTCTTCGCTTCAGGCTTCATCCTGCACTGCCAGACACGAGCTGAAAGCATCCTTATCCTGACCTCCAGGTTTAGCCTATAGGCATGCTCGCCTAAACTTGTCCCCGTACAATAGCACACCGCAGCTCTGCCTGAAGCACTGAGTTAACTGGGAAATACTGAGACCAAACGAGATTTATTCTCAATCATTGAATTCCAAGATTCCCACAAACCTGGTTTGCCTCGATATACAGACACAATACATTTAGAAATTCCCACTTGAACTTCCCTGTTTAAAGCCGCGGTCACCCCCTGTGTGCAGTGCCTTCTCCAGTTCCCTCACTAAGCTGCTCGCTTTTGAACATAGCAAAGGTCGTCGTGTTTGTTCTTGGCGCGTTTCAGCTCCGTTGCTTTGCTGCATGGACTCGTCCAGCATGGCTCCCTATATCACTCTGCACACGTTTAGCATCTGGATTTCGCGGTGACCGTTTCTGCGGTGGGCTAGGGGATTTCTTAGCTCTGAAAAAATATTCCATCCATTTTGATAATAGACGGGCCAATGGTTACAGTATCTCCTCACGTCTCACCTATTAGCTCGAGGCTATGGAAGAAGGCGCTAATGTAAAATGTGCAAACGGGGAACGATGTGTTCTGTTGTTTTTCGGACATTTTGTTGTTGGACCCATCATAGTCGACGCCTGCCAGTTGTGTCAGGTGGGAAAAACGCTTCACAGTAGCCTTCTGTGGGTGGAATCGATGGAGCTGGAAATAAATTTACTTAAATGACCTCTACACGAGGTGGAGGGGGAGGTTGAGTCACTGGTGAAAGCAGAGCAGCTTTGCTTCTCTGTGTTCAGTGTGTGGAAGGTCTTTTAATGAGCAGAATCCGTTCTTGATTGGCTTCAGTTTCTTCATCACAACCTTCAAAATTAAGCTTCTTAAGCTTATTCAAGGTCAGAAGGATTTTATATGAACAACATTACTACTGAATGCTGGACATTGGAGCCTGTCATGATATGTATGTATAGGAGGACTGCATTCCTCTAGGATCTTCAGTAGGTTCATGCAGCAATCCAAATGATAGTCATTAGTTGAGAATAAGATATACTTACATTTTTTAAAGTTATATTGTCTTACCATAAAGAAGCCATCCAGACTTAGTCGTGTCATTCAATTGAGTATCCAAGAGGAAATCACTAAGAAACAGTTGCTCTGTACAAAACATGGCCTCCTCACCCACATGCAAGAGGATAGTGGACCACTGTTGGCCTGCTGATGGCAAAGCTGGCAGTCCACTGGCGTTTTGCTCAGCGTTTTCTGGGTGGCCCACCGATGGTTAAGCAGAGTATTAGACAAAATTCCACATATCCTCACTCATTTTCCATTCACCGTCCAATTTACTTATTTTCCTTCCCTCCTTTCTTTAATTATACTTTGTAAATTAGTTCAGTAAATAATTTTAATCCAGCACAGTGTCAGCAATAACAGTTTCTATAAAATCATTTTACATTAGGCCTAGTCATTATTTTTTTCTCTAAGTTGTTTGTAATATTTGTTTATTTTATGAATAAAAGTCTCTGTGCATTTACTATCTGTTTGAGGAGATTAAAAGCAAGTTAGATCTTGTATGCAGGACAGTAATCTGAGTGGGCTGAGAGTGGACCAACGGTGGCAAACAGTCTGATAATGTTCTTGCTATCTGGGCAGTACCTGCCGTTTATTAAGGCTTCTAACAAGCAACCTTACTGTGTTCTTTACATCATCACGCTTTACATGAGCTTAGATTAGATCAGCGGAGATTGACCAATCCTAACAAGTAACGGTTTTACAATTGACTTTGTACTATGGAGTGTGGAGCTAAATTCTTGGTGATGCACATCTTCAGGTTCAGCACTGAGCACCTAGGATTGTAAAACATCTGATTTCTCTTTCTAGAAATCTAGCCTTACCTGGACTGTTTAAAGAGTTGGAAGAGATTATATCACCTGTACGTTTTTCAGCCCTCTGACACAAATTTTCAAACAGATGTATTAGAGTATATTCTCTCAGTATGCTCTGCAGTCCACAATGGAGCACAGGGCAGTTAAGCAATGGCACCTGTAAGGTGTTTACATTCTGCAGAGTGGATGAAAAGACAGGTTTCCTGTCTGTCTGATGCTCCACAGTTGTCCTATCAAGCACATGGCGAGCACAGGGCTGACAGACTCGGCCAGAACATTTGTTCCCTCCCTGCCGGCCTCACTTAGGCTCACTGGATATACACATATGCTGCCTTTGGCAAAGCTAACAATGATGAGGCTTGATTAGGGTGTGAAAAGTGTAAGTCTCCAGCTTGACTCTGTTTGATAGGCATGAAAATCCCCTCTAACTCTTGCTAATCTCAGAATTTTTCCCATGGTTGCCAGTTAGTTTTAATCTACAGTCTTTGTATTTCTGCCTAAATTAACTTTAGACCAAGGCATGTAGGATAGGTTCTGTTCTTTTGCTGCAGTTAGCAGTTAACTGATAGTGAAAGCCATGATAATGCTAGTTATTTTGTTGGCATATACAGTGAGCTTTCAAAACCCTGCCCTGGGTTCAGTCATCCTTACCTAATTTAATATGTAATACATCAGAAATAAAACTGTAACTCTGAATTTTCTGACTCTGAACTTTGTTTTTCACCTTGGAGTGTTTACATGACCTCAACCATCTAAGGAAAGACATGGACGCTCACTCACAGTAAGCTAGTGCTTGTTTGAGTGCTGTGTAAGTACACATAAATGTATGCTATTGTAATTCAGCATTAATAGCACTGGAAATGACAATAAGAATGACTTAAGCTTCCAATTATCCAAGTGTTTTTCAGTCAATATTTTATCATACACAAATATACTTGAAAGTCAGCTTAAAAAGTATACAACAGAGTATTATCTCTTGTTCTTACTGTGCACTGACTGTGAATCATTTCATAAAATATAATTTTTACATAAGGTTCTGTGTAGGAGAAGCCAATGTGAACCCAGAGACATAAAGTAGGATACTTTGGCATAGCCCTGTTTGGAGGAAAAAAAGGCAAGATCTCACTATTGCATGCATATTTGTGACCACAAATTGGTCACAATGTAGTGTGTATATGAAACAAAAGGCCTGGAACCTCTGCGTAAGAAAGTGGTATTGTTACCAACCACCTTGCTAACAATTAAAAAAAGAAAAAAACAACAAAGCAGATTGTTGCCGGCCTTCCAAAAGCAATTCCTGATGTATTGTTTTTATTGCAAAGCAGTGCACCACCCGAGACTAGCGATAAAAGCTGATTCAGGCACAGATCATGGTCTTGACACACTGACCTGAATTTCCCACTATGTGTTTGGAGCACTTGTTCTAACCTCAAGCCCCCACACTAGTACCTCACACTCCCCCAGCACACACTTTTTTACAATCTCCACTCAACCGCAGTGTGAGAGACCCTCGGGACTTTGCACAGCTGCTGCTACACACGTTTGACTGTAACATTGAGCTTGCTTTATAGCCACCACTATCCCTGGTCTGCAGTCGTCCAGCATCACCCACTCACAGCTGTTGTTCCCAGGCTCACTGTTTGAGGACTGCATTCATTCTTTGCCCTGAAGAATCCAGTGACTCCAGTACTGGTGAGAGGCAGATTTAGTGATATGATTGTACTGACTTTAGGCTACAAATAAAATCACCTTGAGACAGTCTTGAAATGTAGACTGGACACAATCAGCGATACATTATTTCACAGTTGGGCAAGTCATCTGATCCTCCTGTGTCTATTAACCTCTCTGCCAACCAGGGCTGTGCAGCACAACATAATGTTGGACTGAGACAGGAGCTTCAGGCGAAAGTGGTTACAGCGCAGATATGTTAGGGACTACAAAAAGACTAAGAAGAAAATTGTGTCCGCACATAGTGATTCAGATTCCAGGAAAAGGAAAAACAGATTGCAGTCGTGCCCCTGTTCATTTTCAGGTTAGACCAGTTGATGATTCAGTGCTGCTACTTTCTGATTTGGGACTATCAATGGACTATCAATATTGATGGCTGAGTGTAATGAGTGCAAATGCAAGAGAGTTCTGTCCTCTCAGGCTTCAGGCCTTTGCTGCTTCTAAACAATTATGCTCTATGAGCTTTTTCTAGCTAACGAATCCCACTGTTTTCTATTTAATATCTAATTTGTTTCTGTTACACTGTCATTTTAGTTCATGATCATCAGTTCTGCTTTTATGGGCCCAGACTCCAGCACAGTTTGGTGATTTCACTGCTCAAATGCACCACCTGAACTTGCTAATCAACTGCTTAGTTGAATCAGGTGTTTGTGCAGTGAAATCACCAAAATGTACTGATATGCAGCTCTCTGGGTCTGGGCCTGAGCCCTCCTGTTTTATGCATTTGTGCAGTCATTTTGATAAAATCATGTTATTTTATTTTTAAATTTTCCTGGGACAGTTACTGGTGAAGGGATCATCAATACTAAATACCCATGGGTTCATAAAAGTTTGTAATATTCTGTATGATTGCAGAAAGAAGCACTGAAACCTTTATTATGTACCCAAAAAGAGTCAGTCAGGGAAGAGGAGAGCAGAGGTCCTCTCAGAAGGTTGTAATCGCATTCATTATCCATGATGCTAAAAAGGCACCTGCATAGCCTTCAAAGTTAAACCTGAAGACAGACTGTTTCTCGCAAAATTCACAATTTTTCCCCTTCTTGAACTTTGAACTTGGTTGGTTGATTGTTCATATCCTATCAATCACGTGTAAGTAACTTTGATTACAGAATG